TCTATTTCATTGAGTGTCCAAAAACAGTTATAATAATATCCTTTTATAACTACTTAAAAAGTATTAGAATTGATTTATTAATACGTTGTGAGGCATTGCTGTGACAGAGCTGACCATGTTGTTTTGGTGAGAATTGTGAAAGGACTTTGGAACTTTGTGCAAACACAGCCATTGAATGTTTACTGCATGGTGAGCTGTTCTGTAGGAGCTTGGACGATAAGACTGTGGAGGGCAGTGCAGAAGATGGAGGCCTAGCTTGTGGAGTTTCTTAGGTAGGTTTACAGACTCTATTTGGGGAATTTGTTAGTTTGAATTAAGATTTTTGTCGTTCTGGTCAGCTGGGACTGAAGAATCAACTGTGATTAACAAGAGACCAGAATGACGGAACTGGAACCTCTGCTTTGCTGGGGTACTCAGTGCTGGTCAGCTGGAGCTAGGAAATTAGTGGTGAGTGAGATGAGACCAGAATCACTGAGGTGAAGTCTTCTGGGAAGTGTTTCCTGAGGGCGCAGAGAAGCTGTGTTTTAGAGGCGGCCATGGTTGTACCTCCTGTTGGCAGCCAGACTTGGTAATATGTCAGAGTTACCAGGTGGTGCTGGTTTTGAAGGCATGAAGGTCATGGAGGGCAGCTGAGGCCTGGCTCTGTGAGAGGCCAGGAGAGGCCATTGGTGAAGCGGCATTCAGTGGCAGCTGAAGGCCCAGGACTGAAGGGGTCATGCAGAGGAGTGAGGCTTGACGCCATGAAGGAGCCCAGGACAGGCTACTGGGGAGACTGCAGCCAGCTGCAGCAGGGACCCCCACGTTTGGAGATGCCAGCGCCGTGGCACGACCACCACAAACCGCAGCAGCAGGGGAGTGGAGTTGTGTGAGCCTAGAAGACACGACACATGTGCTGCAGAGGGTGGAGCTGGGGAACTGACCAAGCCCTTTCTTTGAAGGAGTCTAGAAGATCATGAGTGGACGTTGAGTTATTTATACAGTTGGTGTTTGAATGTGCTTTGTTCCGATTGTGATTGTGACCTGGTTCTTCCCTCTTGAAGTCTGCAAGTATTTAACTTAATTTATACATACATACATATGTATATACAGATACGTATATATATTTTAACAGGGTCCCACAATAGAGAGATTTTGAATTCTTAAGAGATTTTGGGATGGGCATGGTGGCACAGCACTTGGAGGCAGAGGCAGGCAGATGTCTGTAAGTTCAAGGCCAGCCTTAAACTTGAGCCCAGGGCAGAGAAACCCTGTCTTGAAAAAGCTAAAAAAAAAAAAAAAGAACTCAAACTAATCTTGGAGATTTGTGGATGAAGGTTATTACATTCTTTCAAAGTAAATATCCAATTTAGTTGTTAAATTTTTGTTTGTTTCTCTTTTTGAGATATGTAGCTCAGGGTGGCTTTGCACTAGTGATTTCCCTGTGTCGGTCTCCTGAGTGCTACGGTTCCAAGTGTGTCTCATCACGCCCAGCTACAGTTGTGCCTTACTGCGGCGGGGTCTCTTGTGAGTCACTACACCTGGCCCACAACCTGGTAAATTCTCTTAAATCTTGTTTCAGCAAACATCATGAGTCGGAAAAGTGAAGAACATGGCTTTAGGATCCCTTCTCTTCATTTCCCACACATAATTAATATTTTTTTCTGGGGCTGGTGAGATGATTAAGTGGACAGAAACACCTCTATGCAAGTCTGACACACTACAGAGAAACTATTCCCGAAAGCTGTCCTCTGATGTCTACTTGTACCTCCCTCTAATAATAAATAAACTAGTAAAATTTTTGCTCCATGAACCCCCTCATTTCCATTCTTTCCTCTCTATTCACCCTGCATGCACTTCCAAACCAAAGTCTGTAAGTCTGTGGCAACTACTTTTCAGCCTGCCTCCAGGCTTCCAACACTCCCTGTTCCTGCCATTGCCATGGCTCTGAGTCATGAACATGATCAAATCATGCTCTCTCTTCCAAATAAATAACAACCATGTGATACTAAGGCTCTTAGGATTACCACACAGTTCTTCAAAACTGAGCCTGTGCTTCCAAAAGACTTCCTGCCAGTTTATGAAGAAGAAGCGGAAGGTTAGCCTGATGGTCTACAACAATACAGGCTCAGGGTTGAAAGCCCTTTCTGAGTTCTGTTCCCCCCCTGTCTCATTCTATCACCTGGGAGAAGGAAAAGATCATGGCTATACTTCCCTAGATTTTACAGTGAAGTAAAGCATGTAATTATGTAACCATGTCGGTAACTGTGAAGTAAAAATACATAACGGACATAGCATACATAACCTCCTAAGGACTCAAAAATATACAAAAACTACCACCATTGTTGTCTACCCACAAGTAACAGTTTTCTTGTTATACTTGTGACAACCTCTTGAAGGTTCAATGTCACAGCCTTAAATATGCAACTCAGAATGTGACCGCCTTATGAAATTTCCTGCCTCTTCCAAGAAATTACTTACCCATTCCTTGTGTTCTGTAGCTTAGTAGACCTTGCTACAGTTACACTTGGCATTGAACTGCACCTATTTTTTGTGCACTTGAGGCCTGAGTTTCTAAGAAGTACGTTATGCCCTATTAATTGTACTTTATCGCCTTATATGTGACAGCTTGTTTTCAATAAACAGATCCTTGTCTCTCACACTGTGGGACCCAAGAGACTCTGCCTGTGGTCTGCTGTTCCCTTCAGAGCCTCAACACCATTATTTTCCTCATCTTGGGGTCCTGGGAGCACATAGGCAGCCAGTACGAACCACCTAAGACAATGCAGTTGGGTGAGGGCCACAGTGGCAACTGCAGACATTTCCTTTAGAATGTCTGTCTGCAGGGTCCCTGCAGGGCTGGAATCAACGGGAAATCTGAACTCTCACGGCACACTTTTCGTTATGAGACACTTGAGGAAGAGCATAAACACTGTAACATATGCTTTTGAAATCCAGAAGCTCTTTTTGTGAAAAGCGCTCACAAAATGCCGATGTTTGAGGTATGAATGTGTGTGTGTTAGATCTTAGAAACATGGTTTCTCCGTGCGGCCCTGGCTGTCCAGGAACTCGCTCTGTAGACCAGGCTGGCCTCAAACACAGATCTACTTGCCTCTGCCTCCCAAGTGCTGGGATTAAAGGTGTGAGCCACCATATATGTTTTTATTTCCTTGTAACTTAATTATTTAAAATGATTTACAAATTATATGGACAAAAGTTTTTCCTGCATGCATGTCTGTGCACCATGAACGTGCCTGGTGTCCACAGAGGCCAAAAGAGTGTCAGATCCCTTAGAACCAGAGTTCCAGGCAGTTGCGAGCTGCCATGTGGCTGCTGGAAACTGAACCCAGATCCTTTGGAGGTGCATTAGTGGCTCTTAACCACTGAGGTATCTCTCCAGTCCCAATTATTTATATCCTTAATGCCACTCTCTATTAATAATGACTTCTATTCAGTTCTAGTAGATTGTTTTTGACCTGTTGAACTGTTTAACTATAAGTTTAAAACTATAAGAAAATGTCAGTGTGTTGAACTTTACAGTACTGTGACAAAATGCCTGAGGAGCAAGACAGCAAAGGTTCTCTTGTTCAGTTTCAGAGGGTTCATCTGATCATTACAGGTAGAGCAGGTTATATGATCATGACCAGGACATAGAGAGAGAATGTTGGTGCCTGCTGGCTTTTTCCTTTTGTTTCATCCAGGTCTCTAGCTCAAGAGACGGTGCTACTCACATACAGGGCAGAGCCTCCTCCCTTTGTTAATCCTCCCTGGAAACCCTCCCACAGACATACCCAGAAATGTGCTTGTAAGCTTGTAACCTCACCAGCATTTCCTCCTGACTGCACGGTGTGCATGATCATGCTCCCCACCCCCACCCCCACCCCCACCCCCACCCTTTGACCTCAAGTACTTCCTCCTATTCAGTCTTACACGGCTGCATGGTTTCGGTACCTGCAATCCCGCTTCCTTGATACTTAAAAACCAGCGTAAAGATGATCTGTGACTCTCCTAAAGGAATACATGCGTGCCGTAGAGGTGAGGGAAAGCCGAAGGAGCACAGATCAGCACATTCTCCGGTGGCCTCAAGCTCTCAGCAGTCCAGCCTCAGTCTGCTGAACCCTAGATTTGTATGTGTGCACTGCTACGGTCAGCTCTCCCAGATACTTCCCAAGCCAATCAAGCCGACAATCGTGATTAACCGGGACAGGGCCATTCCCTGTCAGCCTGGCAAGCAACTGCACCTCCATTTAAGACATCCCAACCGAGGCCCTGCAAAGCTCACGCCCACCTCAACGCAAAGTGCGCTCAGTCTCTGGGCTCCCATAATGGTTCCCGCACACACAGACGCTTGGCCCTGAGTGTCTCTAAATCATGGAAGAGTTGTTCACAATGATACAATGTAAATAGTACCATTCTAAATTTTCTCTAGAACTGCCCTCACAGACACAGTTAAAAGTGTGTTGTCACCAGTTTCATGGGCGCTTTCCTATCAGATCAAGCTGACAGTCAAGATGAACTTATAGAACATGTAATGTTTTACAACATGGTTTACAGGTTTTGTTTTATTTTTTATTACTGTTCTGAGGTTGAGGTCTCACTGTGTGGCTTAGGCTGGCCTTGAACTCCTGAGCCCACTGATCCTTTTACTTTAGCCTCCCAAGGAGCTGCGAAGAAAGATGCAGCACACCACACCTGGCTCAGCACAGACTTAATCGTCAAATGCAGCAGTGATGTGGAAGTACTTCTGTCCTAGTGAAAACTGACTAGGAAGGTGGTGGCACACCCTGTGATCCCAGCACTAGGGAGGCAGAGCCAGGAGGCTCGCTGGGAGTTCGAGGCCAGCCTGGTCCACAGAGCAAGTTCTAGGACACCCAGGGCTACAGAGAAACCCTGTCTCGAAAAACCAAAAAAATAAAAGAAGATGGACATTTTTATCTACTGATGTTAAAATCTAATGTATAAACCAGGAAATTATTCTTTTTCAAATTTTAAAAAATTGAGATGTGTCATTTAAATTTACTTACCAAGAGATTCTCTCCTGCCACTCCTCTGTTATTAAAAACCACACACCTAAAAATGAGGAAAGCACTTTGTTTATTTCTCTACACAATTCTTCCTAACAAGATACTACTGAGATCATCTCACTGACACTATCATACAGCATTAAAATAGTAAAAATGTTGGCCCAGGGGCGTAGCTCAGTTGGTCGGGTGCTAGTCTAGCATGCATGAAGCCCTGGGTTCAATTTCCAGCACTGCAAAAACTGGGTATAGCAATGCATGCTAAATGCTAGCACAAGGAGAGGCAGAGCAGGAGGATCAGCAGTGCAGGACATTTTTAGCTGCAGAGCAGAAGCAGGTTTGAAACCAGCTAGGGCCAGATGGAGAACCAGCCTCAAACATCTACCAAACAAGCAGACTGAGAAAAGTCTGTTCCAGAGACTTGGAGAGAGCTTGGCTGGTGAAGGCACTTGCTGCTGGGTGGAACCAGTTCCATCCCATGACCCACAAGATTTCAAAGCAGAACTTGTCCTCTAGACTGTCCCCACCCAGCACATGTGTGTGCACATGCACAATTAAGAAATACTACAAATGTCTGTGATAAGGTCAGATTTTAACACCAAGCAGTAGCATATTGGTGATCCAGAAATGTTTAACAACTCTCTAAAGGACCGGAAACCCTTATTGTAGTACAGACTAAACTCAGGGTGTCATGTTTGCTAGCACTGAGCTCACCACTGAGCTATACTACCAGTTCTAAAGAGTTACAGAATTCTGTGTCTGGGTTCAGTTAGTTACACATTGGTTTCATGATACTTGTTCCTGCTAAACAGAATACAACATTTTCTACATAACATTTTCTGATAAGCACTTCTAAAAGTTTTAAGTCACACATGTTTTTGCTTCAAATGTCACAAGAGTTGTATACAATAATACAATAGTATCAGTCACTATTCATAGCACTAGTAAGAGTCTATCGATACACTAAAGACCAACTCTTACTCCTTAAGGTTCAGCAAACCTGATAACCAGAATTTTTTTTTTTTCAAAAATTAATATTGACTTAAGCCAAGCATAGTGGTGCATGCCTTAAATCCCAGCACTTGGGAGGCAGATACAGGTGCATCTCTGTGTGTTCGAGGCCAGCCTGGTCTACAGAGTGAGTTCCCGGCCAGCCAGGGCCACACAGAGAGACCTTGTCTTCAACACATGTGCATCTTTGATTATGTGTGTGAGCATGTATCTGTGAGGGGATGCGCACATGAGGGCGACTGTCTCTGGAGGCAAGAGAAGGGGATCAGATGCCCTGGAGGCAGGTGTCCCAGGCGGCTGTGAGCTGCAGCATGGGTGCTGGGAACACAACACTGATCCTCTGCAAGAGCAACAAGTCCTTGTAACAGCTGAGCTCTCTCTAGGCCTTAAACATTTTCAGCATTCTTGTCTATGTGTGTGTATGGGTACATTTACCATAGCAAGTTTAGAGGACAAGTCTGTCCTTTCCTTCTGCCGTGTGATGTGGGTCCTGGGGACAGAAATCGTGTCACCAGGCTGGTGGCAGGCACCGTTACCCACTTCTACCGATTCCCAGACCAGAATCTCACCATTAGTAGTGCTACAGATGCTGGACATTTTGGAATAGAGCATCAATATGCTACTACTTTATGTTAAAATATTTAACTTTCAGTTGACAATTATATATACATATATATATAATACATGTTACAATTCTTGGACAAACTCCTGACTCCTCCCTGTATTGGTTCTTGTGGATTTAGTGAGTGAGTGTGTGTGCGTGTGTACGTTTTCATGTCATTAAAATGAATTTTGTCTTTGTTTACCTATGCAATCAAGCCCATTTAGGACTCAAGGTTCCTTCGTACAGGGTGTCGTGCATGTTCAGAGCAGGGTGACTTGACAGCCCTAAGCACACGCCTAATCCTGACTCTCCTCTCAGGGTGCTGGGGTTCAAGGCACACCACCTCTGTCAGAGACGGTGGTTTAGACTGATTATTTACTTATTTACTCTGCCATTCCTTTCTGCATCTGAAATGTCATTTGCAATTTTTAGGTCTAGTTAAAAGGAAATAGATAAATGGTTCATGATCTCAGAAGTCAGGCTGAGGAGACGTAGTCCAGTGAAACCTACAGAAGCAAAACAGCCAGGTGCAGTGAAGCACACCGTAACCCTGGCACCGAGGAGGCAGGACGGGGGCCTCAGGGCCTGCAGCCAGCCAGCCTAGCTGAACCCATGAGTCTTAAGTGAGTGGGAAACTCTTGTCTCAAAGAACAAACTGAGGAAGACACCTCAGATTTACCTCAGGCACCATACACAGGCGCGCACACACCCACTAACACAGAAATCTAATTTGAGGAAAAAAAAAGAAATAAGACATCTTAGTTGGGTGCAGTGGCGCACGCCTGTAATCCCAGCACTTGGGGGACAGAGGCAGGCGGAGCTCTGTGAGTTCGAGGCCAGCCTGGTTTACAAAGTGAGTTCCAAGCTATCTAGGGCTGCACAGTGAGGTTTTCTCCATTGACTGTTGTCCTTTTAAGAGAAGGGGTCTTCTATGGTGCCCCGGCTGGTCCTAAACTCAGCTTCAAGTTGCCTTCTGCCCAAGCCTCCCAGCTAGCTGGGTTGACAGGCACATTCCACTATACCTGGCTTTCTCTTATCTTTTCTTTCCCCTGAAAAGAATGGCAAAACAGACTAGATATAAATAAAATGTAAGTTGGCCACGAAGACTCGCTTGTGTAAGCACCGAAGCCACACGAGTGACCTTGAGCCTGATGCTCCTGTTCAGGCAAGAGCTGCTTGAGAGAGCAAACATTAAGGACAGATTCAAACGGCTTCTGGAGCAAGATGTCACACGACTGCCACCGTGAGAAGGCTACAGCGCTAGGGAGGGAAAAGGAAAAGATGACTTGCAAATGCGTGCAAAAGCCATTTATCCACCTGGGACCGTCCTTCAGACTGCAGGCTGGGCCTGGGAGCGCCCCAGTTGCCCTGCAACACTGCAAGTTAGAGGGGATGTGGGCAGAAGGGTAAGGAGGAATGAAGAAGCTGGTCAGCCAGACTGTCCCTCTCCCCCGAGAGCCGGTGACAAGCCCTGGTAGTGACTTTCTCCAAACGTCTCTTTCCACTCACCCAAGTGACTTTAAATGGCGTGCGCACACAAGAGTGAGGCTGTTCAACATCAGGAGTTGTGACCTTGTCAGAATAGGTGTGTCACTGTGGGTGAGACTGGGGTGTCAGACGACTCCTGTCATTCCCAGTGTGTTCTCTGCCTCCTGCTTGTGGTTTCAGATGTGAGCTCTCGACCCTTCCTACCACCATCCCTTTCCTCTGCCCCCACTGACTCAAACCTTCTGAAACTCTGCACTCAGTTAAATGCCTTCTTGGAAGTTGCCTTGGTTAAGGTGTTTTATTACTGCAATGAAAACAAACATAGCTAACACAGAAGCCTCGGGGTTTAGGGAGCTCGTGGTGCCTGTGTAGAGGACTGGAGTTCAGTTCCCAGCACCCAAGTCAGAGAGATCACAGTCCCCATGGGTGAGATGCTCTCTGGCCTCCATGGGTACCTGCAAACATATATACAGACACATAATTTAAAAAAAAAAAAAACAAAAAAAACAAAAAAAAACCAGAATCTGAAAAAGAAATCTGGTATTAAGAACGTTCTACAACAAGAGTGTATTTCCACAGCTTCACATGGCTTACATGTGCCACCTAAAGGGTTAGTATGTGGGAAGTTAAGGTGTGAGGCATTAAGAGATTGGAAACGTAATCTATGATCTTCACAGGTGAGGCCTTTAGGAGGTGACTGGGGTTAGACAGGGTCATCCACGTATATTCCTATTACTGAAGAAAAGTGAAAGACAGGTCACATGTGTGAGTACTCCATCTCTCTCAGCAAGTAATCTCCTGAGCCATTTTGGGATTCAGCCAGAAGGAAGGTCATTACTATATGCAGTACTTTGATCTTGGACCTCTGGAAATGTGAGTCAAAGTAAACCTCTTTTCTCTATAAATATCCAGCCTCTGGTATTTCATTATAATAATGTACCAGGGAAGCAGATGAGTTTTCTCTAATGAAGGTTAAATAAAAGGCAGAGAGCTATGTATAACACAGGGCTTTTCAATCTGCAACACTATAGGTGTTTTAGATTAAATGACTCTTTATTGTAGGGATGTCTTGAGCACTACAGAATGTTCAGGATCATCTCTGGTTTCTACTAACTGGAAGCCAGTAAAAATGCCCCAGGCCTCACGATTAATAATGCTCCTAGGAGCAGGGAAGACCTGAAAAAACACAAAACAAAACAAAAAACTCTAGATGTGGCCACATGTTCCTTGGTGTAAAACTGCCCCTTGCTTATATAAAACTATTACTGTGAGATGGACCAGAGTCAGGATCTGCTCAAGGTGCACATGGGATTTCCTGCCACACACACAGACACACATAGGAGCAGACTGCCAGTCAGGTGCCCAGGAAAGGCAATGAGAACAGAAAACTGAAATCTGTAAGATAAGGGGATTTCCATCAGATAGTCTTAAATACTTTCCAGCTCTCCCCATCTCTGTTCTAACATTCCTCGTGTCCTTGAATGTGGATGTAGAAACTCCACAGGCAGAGAGAAGCCTCAGCGGGTGAAGGTGCTTGCTGCCAAGCCTGAGATCCTAAATTTGGTCCCTTATACCCTGTGGTGGAAGGAGAGAACTGATTCACACAGACTGCCCTCTCATCTCCACGCACATTTGATGGAACATTTGTTCCTTTCCCCACAAAAGAAATAAGTAAAATATAATGATAAACCTATCAGTAGAAGCGCCAATCAGTGAGGGTAGAGTGGGAGGAACCTTCAGGAAATAAGGTGCTTCTGATACTCCACCATTTCAGATAACAGGAGCTGACTGTCCACCGCCTCGACAGAGCATGCTTTACACACCCCTCAGGGCCACTAATATTAGAATGACCCATTCAAGCCAGGTGCGGTGGCACATGCCTGTAACCCTGGCACTCGGAGGCAGAGGCAGGTGAGTCTCTGTGAGCTCAAGGCCAACCTGGTCTT